TAATCTCTCTTCATATTTCTGCCCCAAGACCACTTGTTCCCGCGCTAACCCCCAATTTATTGAGCAAAAAAATTTTTGAAACTATTTTTTTGTAAATGTTCAAGTTGTCAACTGCCTCAGTTCAAATATTTCTCTCTCCCACCCCCCAACAAAAACCACACCTCCTTGAGACCGATGTTTCGTCGTCTTCACTTCATTCATGTTTTGAATTCGAAATGACCCATCTTTAACCCAACCTCCTCACTCTGTGCGTGGTTGTCAAGGTTCTCACCTTCCCATAGTACAACCACTGCCACCAATACGTATGCTAATACCCAGTTGTACCAGTAGTGGAAAACCCATGTTGAGGCGTGAGCAATCGCCTCCACCCCAGCATTGGAAAAGTCGCAAATAAGAATAAAAACCATTGCAGTCCAGTCAACAAAGGAGGAGGAGGAGGTGGGGATGCAGTGAATGACCGATATAAAAGTATTCCATTCTGCCCCACTCATTATTCCTTCCCTCTGTGCATGTATGCACGGTGACGTCACCGATTTCAACATTCCACTACGCACTCAAGTACACGACCACAAGTGCAGACATTGCTCACACAGATGCATTACACACAACCGTCACCTCCTCCTCAACCGGACCGGAATTATGTACACCCATAAAATCCAGCGAAAAATCTCACCAGAGCACTCTACCGAGTTGAAACGATTCCCCCGCGTTCTTTCAACATTTTTCCATCATTTTCTGGGCGAAAGAATAATTTCGTTCTTGCAATTATGAAATTATCTCGAGAATGAGAGGGTTTAGGGGGAAATGTCAAGAAAGGTTTTTTGTTGTAAATTTTATCAGCTAGAAAAATGGTTTTATTACATTTTTTCGTGTAATTATTTGTTTTCGAGGTAATTGCATTATAAAGATGTCCATTTATTATTCAGTCCCACTTTCACTTTGATAATATTGATTCAGTTAATTGATTAATTATGTTGAGAATAGTGAATGATTTTAGGGGGAGATTTTGTGTGTTCTGAATTTATTATTTTTTGAGAAGAAATAAGAGTTATTACTTTAATATCGCATAATAAAGTCTTCCGTATTACTTTAATATCATTTTGTCTGTCCTCACAGGGTGTGTGACCACTTAATATTTTCTCAAGATGAAAATATTGATTTATTATATAATAATATATATCGATTTGTTCATCTACTAGTTAAATTATGTGATTGGCCTCGGCTGTTTGACTGTTATACCAATAAATAAATTAAATAAATAAACAAATTAACGTATTGTGCACGTAGAAATTGGAGAAAATCAGAATCGGAATATTACTGAATTTATCAATCTCATGCAACGTATAAGTGCGCATCTAGTCGAAATATAACTTTTTTTTTTAACTTTATTCTCGAGAAAATCAATTCTTAATTTTTCAATTGAAAAAAAAAATCTATTGCATCGGCCGGGAATCGAACCCGGGTTTCCCGCGTGGCAGGCGAGAATTCTACCTCTGAACCACCGATGCTTCTTGTGAATGTACCGAGAATACGTGCCTCTAATGCTTACCAACATGTTGAACCGCTTTCTATAGGGAAACATTTTTGTAGAAAACTTTGCGTCAACAAACCGGATATTTTCCCACGATTTATCGCTTTTCCGAGGTTATTGCATAATAATCACATATAAATGTTTGTTAGAATAGTTGGGTAATCAATGATTTTTTTAAAAGTCATCACACAATTTATTTTGTAATGTTTAATATTAATTTTGGATTTTGGATTTTCGGACGTATGTAACAAAATTTTGCTTCAATTGTTCGCTAACGAGTGGATGGAATTGAATTTTTTTTCAAATGTGTCTTGTTGAGCCCTATTGATTGCCATTAATTAAAATCGAATTCATCGATTACTTTTCTTAATTTTTGATTTTTTTTCGAAAATTGGTTGTTCCAGGGTAATTAAAAAAAATGTTCTGAATTGATTGAATGATAGCTTAAAAAATATTTGAATGTCCTTTTGATCGAGTTCGAAGATTGAGGCGATAGCAATAATCGTTATTTTGATTTATTTAAAAATTTGAAAAAATTTTGTATTTTTTGAAAATCATAATTCCGGGGACATCTTTGATTATCACGCTTCAAACGAATTCAATCGTAGCTTAAAATATTTGTTTGAATGCCATTAAGTCGAAGTTAAAAGATAATTACGACAGCTATATTAATTGATTTGATTTTTACGATTGTTGAAAATTCTGAATTTTTCATGAATTTCATTCATTCGAGTATGTGTAAATAAAATTTTTCTATCAACATTTGATCGAAGGCCTGAGGGGAGAGATAGAACTGTAAAAAAGACGATCTGTTATATCGAAGTAAAAGATACTAAGAAAAATGATGACGATAACATTAAACTAAGTCGAAAATCTAACAAAAAAATTTGACAAAAAATCTTATTCAATTTAATAAGATGAAATAAAAAATGAATTATACCTGACAGACGGAAATGATGCGCTATTGCTAATTCATTATCAAAAATAACTAAACTATATGCAATAGAAGAGCAATTTTCCCACCTGTTGAAAAAGTCATCACAATTTTTTCTAGAAAATTTCTTCAGCCAAAAAAATCCCTTAACACTGCCTCTTAGAGACACTCATTCTCAGAATAACATAGCCCTTACCCCGGAATTCTCCTCATAATCGGATTTACCTCCATAAAATCCAATTCGGTCATTCCAATGATTGCGGAATTATCTCGGTGATTAATGATTTTTTTAAAAGTCATCACAATTTTCTTCTAAATAGTTTCTTCCGCTAAAAAAACCCTTGACATTATCCCTTAGAGACCCTCGTTCTCGGAATAATTACATGATTAGCGACGATGTTCATAGCCTTTACCCCGGAGTTCTCTTCATAACCGGGATTATCTCCATACAATCCCCGGGAAACCTCACCAGAGCACTCTGTCGAGTTGGCACGAGCCGCCTTTCAACATTTCCCCACTCATTTTTCCCTTTATTTCACACCCGACTACTTTCACATAGGGCTGACTCTCGCATCAAATCTGCCGGATTGATGCAGCAGAATGGATGAAAAAACTGGTAGAAAAATGATAAAAAGTTCGCTCAAACGTGAAACAATGACTAGACTGAATGAAGGAAATATGACTTGTCTCGCCTTTTTCAGATTTCACAGCAAAGGAAACTCAGTCTTTCCCTTTGTAACAATTTCCTTTTCTGGGATGAGCTCTATTACACTGTTTCAAATACATTTTTCCGATTTTTTTCCCGCCATTCACATGATTTTTTTATGGAGACATTGCTTATGCGGATGGAAGAGTTTGTTTTCGCCGGTTGTGGACATAAATCTCGGCCTGTCCTTCAGGGGAGATGAATCACTTTAAAATTCATGTCATGTTCGAATCTGTTTTGTGATGATGAGGAAAATAGAGGATTCAATGGAGGGGCAAAAAATTCTGTTTTCGTGGTCTTTTTGAGGGACTAAAATACACAGGATGGGAGAGGGGAGAGGGAATTTACCCGTTGGGAGGAATTTCTGCGTCTTTTTTCAACGGTCACGGTGCTTTACGACGTTTTAACGCTGGTGGCCGTTTTGCCGGGAGATTTTTGACTTTTTTCACCGGCTGGAATCGTTATTACCGGCGCCAGAGGATACGCAATCGTGATAACGCTTTCTTGAATAGTAATTATCGGTTTAATGATGATGAGAGTCAATGAGTTTCGGAGAAATGGAAGATCAGAGGGAAATAAATTGGTTTATCAATGAGTTGGTGAGGGATGAAATGGAACAAAGAATATTTCATGTTTGGGCAGGGAGAGAATTTTTAGAAACATTTTTTGGAGGGAATTTTCTCAGCTTTACTTGAAAAAAATGAAAATTTGGTGGACACTTGGTTAATTAATATTCAATAGAATTAATTGTTAATTAATATTCAATGGAATTACAATTTTTTAGTAGCAGGGAGACGAGCATTTCCCAACTTACTCGAAATTTCAATCGAAACGAGAATATTGAGTATAAAATTATACAGGATTTTCGGTTAATTGAAAATTCATGAATATTTTCGCTTAGAATTTCTGGTTTTTATTGATTGTTATGGAATAATTGAGCTGAAATTTACGGATTCCACTGATTTCTTCATGAAATTATGAATTTTTAATTATAGAATTGCTTGAAACTTCAGTGGAACGTCTTCTTAATAAAATCTCCTACGAAATGTACCAGAAATTACAGCCAAAAATGATCAACATTCTTATGAAACTGAAAAAATCGAGTTAATCTTTTCCATTTTATTTTGTAATATTTGGTCCTATTCTGAATGAAGACGCTTAATTATTATTCACTAATTTTTACCATTCTCCATATTTAATCAGCATTCAATTTCTATTTGAGAAGAAGTTAATTAAATCCATCATATTTTTTTCTGTTCTCCAGATATACTCTGATCTCTTCTGTATCGTGATCAGTTCTTCCAAGAGATTGCTCATTTATACAGAAAGCACCATTGAATTCGATTTAGCAGAGAAAAAAGTTAATAAAATGAATATTGAGTACAAAATTATGCTCAATTTTCAATTAATTGAAAATACGAGAGTAAATTCGCTTAAAATTTCTGGTTTTTATTCATTTTCGTGGGATAATTGAACTGGAATTTGCAATGCCTGTTTATTTCGTCATCGAATTATGAATTTTCCCTTATGAAATTGTTTGAAATTCCTAAGAAATGTACCAGAAATTTCAGTAAAAAATGGTCAACTTTCGTGTGATAATTACATTTTTAATAAAATTTTAAAAATCAATTTACTAATGAATTACTAATGTTTGACTACATTCTGAATGAAAATACTTAATTATCATTCGCTAATTTGCTACAACCACTGCATTCAACATATTTATTTATTTATTTGTATATCATTCATCATTCATTTTTATCATTCAATTTCTTGAGAAGAAATTAATTAGATCACTCAATCTAATTATAATTTTTTCTGTTCTCCAGACATACTCTGGCCTCTTCTGTGTCGTTGTCAATCCCTACAAGAGACTGCCAATTTATACAGAAAAAATAATGGAAAGGTATAAGGGCATCAAGAGGCATGAGGTACCACCGCACGTTTTCGCCATCACGGACACCGCCTACCGTTCCATGTTGCAAGGTAATACCACCACTGATACCATAAATTCAGATCCGATCAATTAGCCCCTCATGTATAGATATTCCAAATTTTTATTTTTTTCCTCATTGAAGTAGTTTTGAAGAAAATTGCGAGCTAATAAAAAACATTTGCTAGTTAGTACTTTTTTTTAAATAAATTTTTGAACAAACACCCCTGAAAAAAAATGCGTTATCCCCCCTATTTCATTATTTCCAAAAATTTTTATCACCAATCGGTAGCAAATTGTTTGAAGATTTTTGCGAGTTAAGAAAAAATCGTCAATGCACTCCTATTATTGTGTAAATTAACAATTCCAATTTCAACTGAAAACCAGAGTTGATGACCAGAGTTTGTAGC